CGTTCACCGAGTCTACTGTCATGTATTTAGTGTTCTTGTCAGCAATCGGCTCTGCCCCTCTGGGTCCCTGGTTAACTGATGTGTAACACCCAACTTTCTAACCAGGATCTCAAATCGAGAATTTGAGGAGGTACAATCTTTCCAAAAATGTACTATTTATTTATTTATTTATTTATTTATTTATTTAATTTATTTATTTCTGAGTGCTCTGTCTGCATACATGCCTGCATGCCAGACGAAGGCATCAGGTCCCATTATAGATGGCTGTGAGCTGCCATATGATTGCTGGGAATTGAACTCAGGACCTCTGCAAGAGCAGCCAGTGCTCATAACTGCTGAACCATTTTTCCAGTCCAAGTACACAATTCTTAACACTCTTTCTTCTTGTACTTCATTGTTTTCTGGCTTTCATTTTTCCAATATTCACAGGGACCTTAAAAATAACATTAGATTTTTTTTTTGGGCAACTGAGATAGCTCAGCAGATAAGTGCTTGCCATCAAGACTGACAGATAATCTGAGTTTTATCCCCAGAACCCACATGGTAGGAAAGTTGGAGAGAACCAACTCTCTCAAGCTTCCCTCTGACCTCCACACACATACCATGGCACACAAATAAATGAATGTAAAAGTTTTCAAATAAAATAAAAATTTGTTTTTGCCAAGCACTGCTGGTGCACGCCTTTAATCCCAGCACTCAGGGAGGTAGAGGCAGGTGGATCTCTGTAAGTTCAGCACTACCCTAGTCTAACAGACTGAGATCCAGGACAGCCAGGGCTACACAAGACAATCCTGTCTCAAAACACTAAAAAAGAAAAAATTAAGGTGAGGGTCGGGGCCTTTTAGTCACCCATATTCTGTAAGTGACTCGGATAAACCCTTCAACTCATTAAGTTAGACTTGGGTGGAATTGTGTCTTTGACGTGTCATTGGTGCCCTACCTGGGATGAAGAGGGGTGTGTGTGTGTGTGTGTGTGTGTGTGTGTGTGTGTGTGTGTGTCTGTGTCCCTAAGAAGTCACATACCACTGCTCATGAGAATTTCCTTACTGCCCCTTTAGAACTGTTCTATGAACCCATTATTCTCAGCACCTTGGATAAAATTCAGTAGACTATCATATTGCAGTAGGCTGCATTTGGCACCCATCTCTGCCTGGGTGTATATAATACATCTCTTCACGAGTGACCTCAGGTGAAGCCTACGACTTAAACAAATATGTATCAGTTCAGGAAAGAACCTTTAACCATTGGCATAGGATTCGCTGTTAACCTTTCACAGGAGTCACTGTGATGATGAGTGTTCCAGACAGGTTACTCTGTCAGTCTGGGCCCCACAGAGAACCAGTCCCACGGCCACCACAGCAGATGTGGTCCAGCACACTGCTACAGGACGAGCAGAGCAAGTAGCATTCGTTACCTAGTTTGCATCTCTGCATCGCTTTTCAACATTAGTTCTTGTGTGCTTTCCCGAAAAGTCAAAACAGAAAATCCTGATTTGACATCTCATTCTCTACTCTTCTCTTAGGGTTAATTTTCTCTGGGTTTATGCGAATGGAAAAATTTCATGAAACTTTGACTTACAGGGTTTGAAAAAGCAGGAGTAACTTTTGGACTGTAGAGCACTTGTATGGACCCAGGACACAATCGAATGCGGCCTCCTAGTCCCTTGCTTGCTTTTTTTGATGTGGGAAAAAGTCCTATTTTTAAAGGTGTCAGGAAAAAAAACCAACTATACCAAATATATGTTAGCACATCTCTGGCACTATTTTTGGCTTTCGTAGATACAACTATTTTAAAAGTTCTTTTTCATTTCTTTATTCTACAATCCCCCAAATCTTACAAATATGCAAATCACCAAAATGTGAAGTGAATGACAGACCTGCCTTTGTGTGCTTTACTGATTAGAACACATATTATGCCACTGTCCTAACAGATATTGTGTATTTTTGAGGTTTTTTTTTTTTTAACATCCTGTTGTACAATACAAAAGATAAAGGATAGAGTTATGTGACTTTCCTAAAGTTGCTGATGGATCTAAACCAGAACACATTTCTGCTTTACTACTACTTCCTTTCCCTTCCTCCTTGTTCCTTACAGTAAATGAAAATTAGACCACCTACCAAAGAACTGCAGCGCCCTCATAGCTTCTCACTACACTTTTTGGTGAAAATGATAAACAATCACATGTACTTGTAAGCAGTAGAAAAATATTAAATCACATAACTAGACGTTTCTGTATTGTTCATGAGCAGATATAACGCCCCTCCCGATGAGTAACTGGAACAAGAGCTGATTTTGACAATGGAGGTATAGTGGTGGCAGTAGGTACTGACCAGAGAAGGCAACAAAGTAGATGGGTAGAATGCTACAGATATTTCTCCTTCCGACTGTCCGCTCCATGAGTGCAGAAATTTTGTTTGCTAATGTGTGTGCTACTGAACATGCCTTTTATCTACCGTTTATATTCTCAAATCTGGCTTAAAATGTCATCAATGAATACCATACATAAAATCCAACATCTTCATCTCTTTTTTTCAGAGAATCCCATGGACACAAGTGGGGCCCCTATGGAGTCACTGCACTCAGTTCAATGCCTAGAATGTCCAGTTGTGTTGGGGTCTTACTCATCCCATATACTTCAAGGATGTATGGACTAATTAATCACCTGCTCTGCATTCTGACTCAATACACAATGATGGACAAAGGACAGAAAACAATTTTTACTAATCTTATTTAGAAAAGAATGGGAGGTGTTGATCATGGTCTATAGCGATGCTGGCATATTGCTAAACAGGCTTGTGGAGTTCTCTATCCTCTGACTACACCTTCTAAAAGGATATCCTTTGAACTTTGTCTTCTTAGTTATCTCTTTAAGCTTTAATCCCTTTCTTCTGTTTTCTGAGGAAAGACCTATTCATCCTTTAAAGCAAATATATTGAAGAAATAAACTTGGCTCTAATAGCTTTTTATTTTATTTGCCATTGCTTGTTGTATTTGGTTGTTCTGTGATTTTCATATAAACATCCTGAGAAATAATATACCAGTAGGACATTTACAAATATATACTTCAATAAATTTTAACAAGTACATACACCATCACCTCAATCAAAACATAAAATGTGTCTATTAACCAAAAAGTTGTCTTACAGGCATTTCTTTTACAGAATCTGGGGCATTCAACTTGTAGATTCTATGATAGCTAGACTTTGTTTTCAGCACTAGGGACTGAAACTAGGGTGTCACTCCTGCAAAGAAGTGGCCTTGTCCTAGAGCTCTTTCCCCAACATTTTTACTTTTTATTTTGAGAGAGACTCACTAAGCTGCTCAGATTGACCTTGAACTGGCAATCCTCATACTCAGTCTCTCAAGTAGCTGAGACCGCAAGTCTCTGGCACTTACCTAGCTTGACTCTTCAGACCTTATGTATTTAAAATATCCTTTTTTTCGGGGGCTGGAGAGATGGCTCAGAGGTTAAGAGCACTGGCTGCTCTTCCAGAGGTCCTGAGTTCAATTCCTGGCAACCACATGGTGGCTCACAATCATCTGTAATGAGATCTGGTGCCCTCTTCTGGCCTGCAGTGCAGGCATGTGTGCAGACAGAACACTGTATACTAAATAAATGAATAAATGAGTAAATAAATAAATCTTTTAAAAAATAAAATAAAATATCCTTTTTGAGCCAGAGGGGTGGCTCAGATAATAAAGGTAATTATGGCCAAGGCTGACAACCTAAGTTGGACCCTCAAGAGCCACACCAGGGAGGGAGAGAACCAACTCTCTCAAGTTGTCCTCGGACCTCTACACCCCAGCTTTGGCACACAAGTGTTCCCCCAATACACAATAAACACTTACTTTTTGCCGGGCAGTGGTGGCACACACCTTTAATCCCAGCACTCAGGAAGCAGAGCCAGGTGGATCTCTGCGAGTTCAAGGCCAGCCTGGTCTACAGAGCAAGATTCAAGACAGGCACCAACACTACACAGAGAAACCCTGTCTTGGGGGAAAAAAACAATAAATACTCACGAAGAAAACCTTATCTTTCAGTCCTCTATTTTTTTTTTAAGTAGCTCTGTTTATAGAGCTTAGCTTTTGTAATTTTCATGTAGAAACAATGCTTCGTGCATTGTTTGTAAGAGTTAAAAGATTATAGGTTTGAACATTATTTTCATTGTTACAAAATTTAACTACATGCACCAAACATTGAAATGTCCTGGCTCACAAAACTGAATTCCAGTGCATATTATGTATTTGGGACTCATTACAAGCCCCGTTTTTCTGTGTCTCTCCTTGATTCTGACCAGAATGGGGTGCCACGACGGTGTCACAGAACCATGGGAATAGAATTTAAAGAAACCTAGTCTTCTGCAGCAGTCAGCTTACTTACAAACATGAACTTATTTCACTAAGCATCTTCTAGGAGTTAATCTTTGCATACCATAACCCTTCTTATAAACAGTATTTCCATTGAGAAGTTACGTGATTACAGTTATCTTGGGAGCAGCCCATTAAAACCGTTCCCTGAAGCCCTCCTTAGTAAGTCAGTCAGTTTTCCAAGTCTCTTGTGCAAGAGGCGAATTCCCCAGCAGTAAAACACGTCGGCGTTGTTTCGCCTCTACGGGACGGAGAGCTTGAGACGGGCGTGAGGCGCTCATCTCGGGCCCACCGTGAACCTCCGAGTGGCTGGAGACGGTGCCCGTCAGGCGTGCGCACACTCGCGCGTGGTTCCTCACCGGGTCACCTCGCTCGCTCGGCGGCTGCGGAGACGCCAGCCCCGGAACCCCGGAGGTGCCCGCCGAGCCTTGGGGAGCGCGCCCCCGCCCCGCGAGCCTGCTGCGCGTCACTTCCGGCCCAGCCATCCGCTTCCGGGTCGGGCTGAGCAGCCTGCTCCTGGAGACTGCCGGAGGTGCCGCGCTGTCG